TCAAGCCTTTGGTAACTAAGACCCCATCTACATTATTTAAAGCAGTGACACACCACTTTAAACAGTCATGGCTTCTACCAGAGAAACCTGGGAAGTGTAGTTTGTAACGGCACTTAGAGAAAGCTAAGATTCTGAGTGGTGCAACCATCAATCCCTCTTTTTAGGCAACTCTGGGGATTCTGAACAGCCAGTTGTTAGATCTCCTAACAACTCTCAGCACCCTTATTTGTGAAAGCCACCATGGTCAAAAGGGGAGTGGCACTGCTTCAAATGTATAACACAGATACTTCTATGGGAGTCATGGGCATAGCCAGGATTTTTGTTAGGGGGAGAAGGACTGGATTGCAGGGGGGGGCAGAACCGATGTTTTACTTGATCTAGAGGGGAGCTGCCCCCTGCCCCCCCCCCCTTGAGTGGGATGGATAAGACGTGTCATTATTATGTTACTATACCTTGTTTTAAATTTTCTGGCTTTAATTGTTTTTTATCCACTGTTTAACCTCTTGTTCAGTTAAAGACTTCTTTTTTTCTATTCTTTTTTGCAAAATGCTCCCAACAAATGTAATAAATAATAGCAATGTTATATACATAGGGATCTAAGGTCCGCACCTCCTGCTCTGTTTTGCTCAATTCTCTTTTGCTTCAGTAAAGAAAAGAAAAGAAAAGAAAAAAGAAAAGCAATTAGAGACAGTGCCTTTCAAAGTCTACAAAGCAATGTGAACTTTGTAATTGCCCTTGAGGAAGGATAAGGTACACTGGCACTTCAGTCTGAAATCCCAACCCTGCTCCTAAGAAGTGAGCTGATTATATACCTCTCCAAAGGGTTTTTAAACTGGAGAGGAGTGCCTCATTATTGGATGAACAAATGGGACAATTGCAGCCTTCCATATGCTCTGTTATATATTTTTTTAAAAAAAAGGAGAAAGGAGAGAGAAGGTGCTGAAGAGAAGAAAAACACAATTTTGCCACAAGCTCGTCCTTTGCCATAAGAAATAAATGCTGGCTGGGAGGAGTCGCTGGAGCAAGATAACAAGCGAGGGCTCTCTGCGCAGAGGCGGAGCTAGCTGCTCCGGCACCTGGAGTGGCGCACTGGGGGTGGCGCTAGCTGCCCGCAGGGGCAGGGCGAGCATCCCAGGGGGCAGGGGGCACTGTCACCCCCCCTCATGGATGACACCCAGGGCGGACTGCCCCCACCGCACCCCCTTTCCTCCTCCAGTGTCTCTGCAGAGAAGTAAAGTTCCCTTTTCATCACACTGAGGCTCCTCAACTCAGTGAAACATTCAATAAACCCAAACATCAACTCCCTACAATTCTTCCCCCCCCCAATTGTTTTCTTTGCTTTCACTTGATGTCTGTTTTTTTCTCTCTCTCTCCCTGTCTCTGCCCTGTGCTCTTTACTGCTTCCCAGTGATTTAAAACACGAAGCATCCAGGAGATTTCAAACTTAGGCACACCTTCTTAGCAGAATGGACCCTACTCTCCAGTGCTGGGATGCTCAGCTGTGTATTAGAAACACAGGCATGCTGCACGCACAAGTTTCCTTGGTTAGCTATGGGCCTTTCTTCAAATTACTTAGGGGTTTACTGTGAGAAAGACCTTGGTGGCTGACACTGCCACGCTGCCCAAAATGAGGCTCTTCCTGAAGCCTTGAGAACTGAGAGCAAACGGGACAGAACAAGGGTAGGAACCTTTTCAGATTGAAGAGCACATTCCCCTCCAGCCAACGTGCCATGAGTAGGCAAAAGTGGGCAGAGGAATCAATGCAAAATTTACATTTGGACACTTGGTTAGGTTTCTACAAGCAGGCACACACCTTTTTATCCTCCACCCAGGTACGTACAACTCATCACAGTGGTACCTCAGGTTACAGACGCTTCAGGTTACAGACACTTCAGGTTATAGACTCCGCTAACCCAGAAATAGTACCTCAGGTTAAGAACTTTGCTTCAGGATGAGAACAGAAATCACGCGGCGGTGATGTGGCAGCAGCAGGAGGCCCCATTAGCTAAAGTGGTGCTCCAGGTTAAGAACAGTTTCAGGTTAAGAACGGACCTCTGGAACAAATTGAGTTCTTAACCCGAGGTACCACTGTATCGGGGGGGAGTGTTTCCAGCCGGGGGGGGGAACTACTCCAGGAGAGTGAGGGCTGATAATGGGTCTGGTTCTGGAGGGTTTGTGACCCAGGAAGAATCACAAGGGCCACATGATGAGATGGGGAGTATTTGCCCCCCGGGCTGAGATTTCCCCATCCCAGAGACAAAGTAAGACAAACTGGCTTGCTTAGTGTGATCCATAAGCCTTTAAAATGGTCCCCGAAGGCAGAGCTTTCTAAGCTCTTCATGTCAGTGTTTTAATTGTTTATTTCACTCTAATTGTTTAATTTTGGTGGTGGTGTTTCTTTCTCCCCAGTGTCAGTTTGAGTAAAAGTGTTGTTATTATTCTGCCAGACATATGTGTGTGGCATTTTACAACACACATGCAGGTGTTTCAATCTGTAATTCAACACAAGAAGGAAGAAAGTTTAGACGGCATGAACAGGGGAAGAATATGCAAATTATTTCAATCATCTGTACTTAAGCTTAGTTAAATCAAATAAATACAGACAGAAAAATGAATGAAATAAATTAACATTCTTGGTATTTGCCACCAGTCTGGTTTTCCCTCACACATCTGCACCCAGACAGAGACTTTAAAGCTGTTGTCGACAAGTTCCCTTTCACACCCACTCTGATTTGCCATCCTCAAAGCAATCTCATGGTCAATTTATTATTGGAGGAAAGTTGGAGTCGAGAGACTCTGGTTCCCTCTTAGGGATCTCATCCCTGTCTAAAGATCTGATCAGATGCATTGCACACACACCAGGAAACGTTTCTCTGCATTGCACTGTCTCTGCAATTCATGCTTGTGCGTTACGGCTATTACATTTCCTACAGATCCAGGGTCCTTAGACTGTGCTGAGCCTAAATCTTCTTCTAAAAAGCCCTTTTTTCATCTCTCTCCCCACATGCAGGCAGGATTTTATTTCTAAAAACCAGAAATGATGTCTGGGCACACAGAGGTTTCTCTCCTCCTCCTCTGAAGACTTCTTTTCCTAATGGTAGTCCAGACAATGAGAGAAACACTCTGCACAAACTCAGGGGCATGAACTGGAACTGCACAATCTTATACATATACAGTGAGGAATAAATTCCACTGAGTTCGTGAGATGTACTGCCAAGGAAGTGTGTTTGGAAGTGCAGCCCAAATCACTTTCCCTATCAGCTGTAGATTGCTTGCACAGGCTGGGGGTTGGACTAGACCTCTGAGGTTCCTTACAATTCTGCAGCTCTCTGTCCCTCCTCTGCCAAAAGGTTCGTAATTGGGGGTGGAGTAGAAATTTTTGTGGGCTAATTTACAGTGATGCCCTAAGTGAAAGGTGCTTCCCCCCCTACTTTCTTTTGGGAACAAAGAAGGCAACAATAAAGGGAAAGGAGGAACTGGAACGTGCACACTCAAAGAAGCCCCAAAGTGGAACATAAGGAACATAGAAAACTGCCTTACCAAGTCAGATCATTGGTCCATCTAGTTTAATGTTGTCTGCACTGACTGGCAGCAGCTCCCCAGGGTTTCAAACAAGAATCTCTCTGAGCCCCACCTGGGGATGCCAGGGATTGAACCTGGAACCTTCTGCAGGTAAAGCAGGTGCTCCAGGACTGGGCTATGACCCTTCCTGGAACGGGACACGCATCTTTTTTGTGTGGTTAGCACTGAGTACTCCAAGAAGGAGGGCAAACTTCCAGGCCAAGCTAAAAGGAGGGGTCCCTATAGACAAATGGCAACTTAAGACTGATAGCTGCTGCTGCTGCAGCAGCAGCATAGTGCTTCTTTCGTCTTCTTTGCACGGGGATGTTGCATGCACCCTCCTGTACCTTTAAGTCACGTTCTTTCCCTCAAATAATCCTGGACACGGTAGTTTGTGAAAGGCTGCTGGGAAGTGTAACTCCGTGAGGAGTAGACTGCAATGCTCGGGGTTCCTCGAGGGAAGAAGCTGGGTGTTCTTATAAACCGGTACGCGAAAGCAGAGCCCTGTCAGGCTCGGTGGGGTTTTCTTCTGAGTAAACGTGCCTGTAACCTTGAGCAATCGTAAACGCGCTTCCTAGGGCTCAGGCAGCCCCCCATTGAATAAAGTGGGAATTACTTCTCTATAGGCATGCGCTGCCAGCTATGGGTTTTTCGGAAGTCCTTGGTTTGAAAACCGGCTGTATCATAAAACGCACGAGGTGCTCTTCGCTAGGAAATTCCCTCTGAGCTAAGGTTACCAGACGTCCTCGTTTCCCGGGGACAGTCCCCGGATTTGCAAATCAGCCCCCATAAAAGAAATCCACTGAGGTTGAAAAGTGTCCCCGGATTCATTGGGGGGGAAATCTGGCAACCTTACTCTGAGCTTCAACTCTCTTCCCCGCCCCGCCCCATCCCGTAATATGGGAGTGGAGGATAATAAACCTGGGCTGCCTTACAGAATTGCTGTCAAGGATTATAAAGTCAAGTAGGTGTGAATGACTTTAAACACTTTAAAAGCCAACTACTGCAGTAAACATGCAGTAAACAACTATTACCTGACTCCCCTTGATGTACGTACATTATTGTCTTACCAAGAGATGAGACACTTACCATACTTTAGTACAGCTGGCGGTCAGAAATGCAGGGGGCATTTGCCCTAACAGGGCCACACAGGCGGCCCGCGCCCTCCGGCACCTTACCACGTGCTGGCCTTCGAAGTGGTGGTTCCCGCATAATCCCTCCCTGTCCTAGCTGTGTATCTGAAGAAGTGTGCATGCACACGAAAGCTCATACCAAGAACTAACTTAGTTGGTCTTTAAGGTGCTACTGGAAGGAAATTTTTTTGTTTTGACTATGGCAGACCAACACGGCTACCCATCTGTAACTGTCCTAGCAAGAGGCGCCTTAATCAGCGGGCCGGAGCCAAGGCTCTCCCTTCCCTCCCACGGGACAAAACTCACCGGCGTTGCGGAGCTTGCGGTTCCTCAGCACGGACATGATCACCAAGACGTTGCCCAGGATGTCCACGACGATCGTGAAGATGAGCACGGCCGCCAGGGAGTGGCGCGCCTCAGGGTGGAAGCGGCATTCCGGGCAGCTCGCGTTGTTGTCCAGCATCTCCCTGCAGCTCCGGCGCCGCAGCCGCCGCTGTGCAGGTCCCGAGTAAGGGAAAGCCCTCCCCGGGACTCCCACCCCATCGGCAAAGAATCCCCCGCGCCTGACTACCCGCCCGCGGCGCGCCCGCAGAGCCTGAGCCGCCCGGTTCCCAACTCCAAAAGTTTAGCTCGCCTGGAAAGAGCGACGGGTCCTCCCCCTTTGTGCCTTCCCCTTCTCTCGGTAAGCGTCTCAAACTGCGCGGGGTAGCATGGAGGCGGGCGTTTCTCCCGTCACCTGCCTTTCCCGAAGCGCCGGGAAGGAGGTACCCAAACGTTGCGCTTTTGTCTCTCGCGGGCTGGCAAAAAAGACAAAAAAGCACACAGACGCTCACGCCCCTGTTTCCAGGAGCGTCGAATAAGTCGGGAAACCCTCCCACCTCAGAGGGCGCCTCCTTGGGCTACCCTTCTGGGACAGCGCGGCTGTGCCCTCCCTTCCTATCCTTGAGCCGTGCGTAAAAATGGGGACTTTGGAGAAGCTTGTTGGAATAAGGCAAACGCCAGTTTGCCGTGCGCCTTGCAGGCTTTCCGCGTTGCGCGGAGCTGGGGATGATCTACTGCTCTCTAGCCAGCTGCAAGGATTGCAGGCTCAGATATGCTATCCCACTTCTACCTGTTCCTCCTCTGCCACAGAGAGGAAGGGAGAGAGCCAGGATGGTTAAGAGTGTTGGTCGCTCGCCACTTAGCCATCATGAAGCTTATTGGGTGACCTTGGGCCAGGGACTGCCTCTCAGCCTAACCTGCCCACACAAGGTTGTTCTTAGGGGAAAATGGGCAGTGGGAGGGGACCCATGTGCACACCCCCTTGAGTTCCTTGGAGGAGGGGGCTGGCTATACAATAACAACAGGGATAATAATGTGAAATGTGAATGCTGTCCATAGAGGCAAAGTGCCTTCCATGTTGACTTTTCCATGCCTGCTAAAGACATTCCTCTTCCAACAAGCCTTCTAAAATCTCAGTTGGTATCTGTCTTCGGTCTGAATTGATTTTAAGTATGTGCTGATGTTTTAAACTGTTTTTTTTTAATATTTAGAGTTGTGTTTTAATTGTTTTAATATATTTAATATATTTTTATTGCCATGCAACGCTCAGCTGGTAGAGCACAAGACTCTTCATGACAGGGTCCTGGGTTCAAGCCCCACAGTCGGCAAAAGATTCCTGCATTGCAGGGGGTAGGACTAGATGGCCCTCAGGATCCCTTCCGACTCATGAGTCTATGATTCTACCTTATTCTGCAGTTGTTCTTAACCATTTTATATGCAATTCTTTTTAACTTTTTTTGTTTTTGTTTTGTTAATATGGAGTAGAAATCGAAAGGTCTGCTTGCTAGGAGAAATGCAGGATGAGGATCAATAGTGAAGGGGCACATCCAGCACCAGATACAGGAATACTTGCACAGTAAATAGTGACACCCAACGAAGGCGACTGACAGGGCTGTCTTTAGCAGATGTAGCGCCAGGGTGAAAATATCCACCCAACACCCCCAAATTACCATGGATAGTGTTGGGGTGGCTGTAGCTGCACACTGCCAGCCATCTGGGGGGGATGCAACTCTCCCCCATGCCACTGCGGGAGAGTGATCCTCGCAGAGGCTTAGGAGTGAAGTTGCCTCTGCGGGATGAGAGTGCAGCTTCCCTTCCAAGCCTCCTCGGGAGGAGAGCGATCCCCACAGATGCTTGGGAGGCAATCTGTGCGCCCGCCAGCCTTATGGCAGGGCACAGCTGGCAGGTGTGCAGGGAAAGCTGCCAGCAAAGCCGTGCAGCTCCCCCACTTGCTGGGGTGCCCCTGAGAGGCCGGCGCCCTGGCGCAACACACCAGTAAACCTTATGGGAAAGACGGCTCTGGTGACAGAGATCCACAGAAGAAAAGGGAGAAAAGGTTTTTTTCTTTCAAGCTTTCCATCCTTTCAGATTCCAGCAGAACTTCAAGCTTGCGACACAAGCATGCGTTGCAAACCCAAATGCTGCAGCTGTGCCACCCAGTGCAAACCTTGGAGGAGACACTGGAAGGGACACAAGATGGCCTAAGGGAGTAATAAGATCCCTGCTGGGTCCATCTAGGTCCATCTAGTTCAGCCTTCCTCAACTGATGCTTTGGCTCCCATCAGCCAAAGAACCCCATGCATCCACAATGCAGAAGAAGGAAAAATAATTACCACCAACTCTCCCCCCCCCCACACACACCTCTTTCTCCCCACATCTTCCCAATGTCTCACACCAGTGTCTCAACACCAAATGCAACTGACCTATAGACAGGACTCTATGAACTAAAAACAGAGATGTTAGATGTACCTTTGTTATCCGTGGAAAATCTTTCAATGGAAACAATTATATATATATATATATATATATATATATATATATATATATATATATGGGGTTTCAAAAGGTGATGAGATAAATTTCTGGATTGGGTTGGCCCTACTCTACTTGCAGGAGGGGAGAACGCTGCTACATTCAGGTCCTGCTTGCAGGTTTCCCAGAAGCCTCTGTTTTGCCCCTGTGAAAAGCTGGAATAGATGTGGAACTATTCTGGCCTGATCCAGAAGGGCTCTCCCTTTTGTTCTTGTGAGATGGTGAGATGAGACTGGGGTGGCTCAACCAACCAAATTAATTTTAACAGGGGCTGGTCCAAGACATTTTGCTACCTGAAGTGAAGGGCAAGGTATCAGCAAGCCTCTCCACTGCACATACCAAATCCAGTCATATTGGCCCTTGAAACTCTCCTTAGCAATAGGACCATGTTGTCTGCTGCACCTGAGAGCAGTAGGCTAGTTTAGCGGGTGAAGGGAGGCACACACAGGTCTGTCCACTCCTTGAATCTCAGCATTTGCCACCTGAGGCAGATGAATTATTCTGATTCATGGTAGGGCCAGCCTACCAATTAAACTTGCATATTTGTAAATCAAACATTCCAAAGTGGGGGGGGGGGAGCAGCCTTTTTATTTCTAGATACATATGTGTGTGCCATCAGGCATATCTCAGAAGGACTTAGAATCATAGAATCATAGAGTTGGAATAGACCACAAGGGCCATCGAGTCCAACCCCCTGCCAAGCAGGAAACACCATCAGAGCACTCCTGACATATGGTTGTCAAGCCTCTGCTTAAAGACCTCCAAAGAAGGAGACTCCACCACACTCCTTGGCAGCAAATTCCACTGTCGAACAGCTCTTACTGTCAGGAAGAGTTACTTTGTTGTGTGCAAGAAAAAGGGAGACCTCTTTTTTAAGACAGTGTTTTGGCACCTACCATCTTTGTAGATATTTGAATTAAAATTCCATATGAACAAACTTGAGCCCAATTAACCAGGGCAGCCCTCATAATAGCATTTAAGGTTGCCTCCAGATTATCAGTGTTTTGTAGGAGAGAGTCTAGTGCTTTCTGGAATGTTAGGTTTGTGCAGTTAAGGTGGATTAAAGACCTCTGTTGTCTTGCTGAAACAAAGCCACTTTTTAAAAAGGACTTTTGCAGTTTGGAAAGTGACAGGGATGAAAAGTGTGCCAATGAATCAGAAGAAATGCCCATATGACTACCCTGTGAACAAATCAGAACAACTGCTCAGTAATGTCCAGATATAAGCTAACCTCTGCCTAAGTTTTGTTCCAGGAAATCAGGATGAATGATCAATAAATATGGTGGGCCTTAGGAAGATAAGGGATGGGCACAATGAATTTGGAGCAACAAGTCTGAATATCACCTGTGTTGTTTAGTTTTTATCTTCACAAGTAGAGGAGGAGTGGGGAACCTCTGGTCATCGGCCAATCTTGGTCCCCAGGGCACCTAAATTTGGCCCGTAAAGCCATTTTTCTAAACCCATGCCCAACTGTCAATCAAGTAGCATCCCTTCGGTAAGCGGGCGAGATTAGCGGATGGGGTGATCAGGGAACTGGTGTGCACAGCCAAAGCAGCAGGCTTCATCTCCACCTTTCAACTGGTTAAATCCTGCTCAGACCACTGCAGAGAGCAGGGCTGAACTCTCCGCTCAGTCCTTATCAGTACTTCATTATGGCATGAGATGATGGACAGGGGTGGTGGTCCTATGCACCAGTCAAAGTTGCCCCACATAAGCCAAAAAGATTCCTCACCCCTCTCTCAGCTGCCGCACCCTGCCTGCTCCTCTCCCCTCCCAGCAATTGTCTGTAGGAAATTTGGCACATTTCACAGCATGCCCTTGAGCACATGCTCCCTCTCTCCTTCTCATGTTGCTGCTTCCACTTCTCTTCCACTCCCAGATACTAATTTGCATTAATTAATCATCAGCTAAAAATACCACCAGTGTTTATCTTCTTCTTCAAAGCACGGGTCACATCACCCAGGATGCTGGCACTTATATTTAGCACCTAGCCCTCCCCTCCCCCTCTCCCAGAAGAGGAAAGTTAGCATTTGTTTCTCGTTTGCAGGTGCTGTTCAGCATAATCTAATATACACTTCTCTTTAAAAAAAAAACACACCAAAAAACACCCATTGCCTTAATAATTGCTCTAGCACTTGGCCAGAGAGCTGTTTTGTGATGCTGAATGGGGGAGAGAGGAGAGCAGTGGTGAGAAGACGTGAATGGGAAGAGGTAACCCATAAAACAGATCAGAAAAGAATGATGCAGCTTTCAGAGCCCCGGAGGGAATATACATTTCACCAAGCAAAAGTGCTGGAAGTCTCAGAACACAGGATAGTTTATCCTGGGAAGGAAGGAAGCTGTTTGATGGCGCCACCGTGTGGTCTTTAGCAAACTTGCTCTTAGATTATTGTTATTATTATTCAGCATAAAATTTGTGAGCACCTCTCCCAATGGGCTTTCGGGCCCTAGGGGATTATATTGCCTTGGGGGGGGGGGAGAGATGGAACCCTGGAGAACTCTTCACTCAGAGCAGTTTAGAGCTCTTATGAGATCTATTAAAGCAGTTTTCCTTCCCTGATAATCTCTCTATCATCAGTTGTGTAATTATCATCCCCCTTAAGTCAATTATTTCACTCCTTGGCTCGCCATTGGGGAAGCCAGCCCCATAAATGCTGTCTTTTCCTTCTTTCCCTAAGTTGCTATGACAAAGGTTTGCCTGCAGGTTAGCTCACTTTCTTCTTTTGTTCTTTATTATTATTATTGATTTTTAATTTCCAGCAACAAAACATACTTGTACGATGAATACAGAGTTTAGTAGGTTACAGAAAAGAAAGAAAAACAGAGGCTGGTGGTTGTAGTTTTCGATGTTTCAAGAAAGGCAATTAAATAAAAGTGTCTCCATCATGTTCCATGAGTCGATGGAGGGTGAAAACCATTTTGATTGTCTTAACAAAGTCAATAAAAGGATACCATGTCGTACAGAAGGTGTGAGTCCTTTCCCCCCCAAGATCGATATTCTTTTTGTGAAATGGTTAATTTGTCCATAAGCACAGCATCCCATGCTTGCAAAACTCATGCTTCAAAAAGATTTGCATTTAAAGTTTTCTAGTTTTCCCAATAACTAATCTAGCTGCAGTTAATAAACAGATGTGGTCTTTATTGGTTGTGTTCTTAATCTGATGAGTAAAATGAGATATTTGGGCTCTTCTTTATGCTGTTCTTGTTTTAATCCTGTATAGAGAATCATAGAGTGCCTTTAGTCGTGTCTGACTCTT